GTGTGTGTGTGTGTGTGTGTGTGTGTATGTGTGTGTGTGTGTGTGTATGTGTGTGTGTGTGTGTGTGTGTGTATGTGTGTGTGTCTTATATGTGTGTGCATGCACATGTGTGTATACACATATGGAAGCCAGAGGACAAGCTCAGATGTCTTTCCTCAGGAGCTGTCTACCTTGTTTTTTGAGAGAGGATTGCCCATGACTACCTGGGGCTGTTGATTGGGTAAGGTTGACTGGCCATGGAGCTCTAGGGATCTGTCTGTTAGCCCCCACCCCACCCTTCCCCAGCACTGGGGTCACAAACATGTGCCTCTGTGCTAGTTCTGAGGCTCAGACTCAGATCCCAGTGCTTGCAGGACTGAGAAATCTCTCCAGATCCCAGACATCGCTTTCAATGCTGCATGGAGGGAAAACTGACCACCTCTATTGGTCCCCAGACTCTTCCACAGTAGATCTCTTCCATCCCCTTCCCTTGGATGTGATCTTTATCTTGTTCAAATGGGACCACCCAACACTCACCCAAGAAACTGGAATCTAGGCTAACACCTTCCTTTCCTACTCCACCATCACCACATATGCTCAGATAGGCATCTGCCCGGGGCATGCATCCTGTTGACTGGCCCTTCAGCCTTTGGGGTGGCTTTTCAAATGGACCGGGCCAGTCATGATTTACCTGCTAAAGCTTCTTCACAGTTCCACACTGGATACAGAGACAAACCCTAAGTTCTGAGGAGACTCGTCTCAGTCTGGCCCCAGCCTTGACTTTTTTCTTGTCCTGATACTTCTCTTTGCTTTCTAACTGTCCTGCATGCCATGATGATGGCTGTGGAAAACTATGTCCCAGTCTTCTGTGTTTTGGTGCTCAGTGGTTGTGATGGTTAATATTGACCATCAGCTTGACAGGTTCTAAAAATGCCTAGGTGACAAGCCTCCAGGAATACTCACAAAGGAATATCCAGATTAGGTTAACTGAGTGGAAAGATCCACTTTAACTGTAGATGGCAATCCATGGGCTGGAGTCCTGGATAAAACAGGAGGAAGAAAGCTGAGCATCCACATTCATTGCTCTTTGCTTTCTGCTTGTGGAAGCAATGTGATTAACAGCCTCATGCTTCCTCCACCATGCCTTCCCCGCCACGACAGACTTCCCCTTGAACTATAAGACAAAATAAACATTTCCTCCCGTAAGGTGCTTCGGTCAGGTATTTGGTCACAGCAAAGAGAAAAGTAACAATACAGTGGCCTCCACTGTGATGGTTTTCCTAACCCTCTTGGGATCAGGCTACCAAGCTAAGCTTGCTTCTCCTAGAGTGAGTTAAAGGTAACCTCCATCTTGAAGCCTCTCCTGATTGGCTCTTCCCAGCTGATTCCTTCCCAGGGGAGTGGATAACAGCCTCCTCCTTTTGCAGACTCTGTTCTTTCACCCGTGATGTCTGCTGTGTTCAATTGTGCATACATCTGTGATAGATAAGGAATTTCTTGAAGCTAGGGATGGTATATATATATATATATATCAGTTAATCAATAAATATATAAAATATCCTTTTTATTTATATATTTATTGATTAACTGATTAATTTAGAGACAGTCTTGCTGTGTAGCCCAGAGTAGGCTTAAACTTAAACTTAGAATCTTCCAGTCTTAGCCGTCCAGGTGCTGGATTACAGGCATATGCTACAGAGTCTACCTCAAATACCTTTTTCTTGGATGGACGGATGGGTGGATGGAGGGATGATTTATAATTAATCATTTCCTTTTGATATATATTTTTCCATATTGCAAATGCAACTGTGATAAACATCATTAGAAAAATATTTTTCTGGCTTCCATGGCACTCCTTAACCTCAGAAGTATAACTTTGGGTACCAAGCTAGGGGATTTTTAAGGCCCTGCTGTGTCTTTGAATGTCATGCTAGAATGCTGGAGCTCCTTGTCATTCTGACTTTAGCTTTTCATTCTCAAAGAGTAGATATCATTGTATTTTGTGTGTTCATTTGACAGGTAAAAATGATCTCTCACTGTGGCTTTGTTTTGCTTCTTTGATGGGTGAAAAGTTGAACATTTTCCAAATGTCTCTTAGTCATCCTTCTGTGGATTGTCTCAACAGGCATTTTATTTCATAGTTCAACAGGCATTTTATTTCATAGTTATATTTGGATCCCTGGGGAGAAATAAAAATCACCAGCTCCTATAAGTGCACAGTTCCAGGATAGAATCAGGCAAGGTCTGTCATTACTACCCAGTGGCGGAAACCTTTTCTCAGACTTTTTCGTGGGAGTGTCCTGGGCCGTGGGAGTGTCCTGGGCAGTGGGCGTCTCCTGGGCTGTGGGAGTGTCCTGTGCCGTGGGCGTGTCCTGTGCTGTGGGAGTGTCCTGGGCCGTGGGAGTGTCCTGGGCCGTGGGAGTGTCCTGGGCCGTGGGAGTGTCCTGGGCCGTGGGAGTGTCCTGGGCCGTGGGAGTGTCCTGGGCTGTGGG